TAGTCCCCACATCCCAGGGGGATCATCGTGCGTCCCAGCCAAAACCAGGCGAAGTCTAAGTTTGTCCTTTCGACATGGACGCTTTGTCGTCGCCGTTGCATAATGTATGGCAAGAGTGGGACGCGGCACACACCACGCGCACGCGCCCAATCTGGGAGCTCCCCCTCTCAATCCGCACATTGCAACGTCAAGCTTCCCGTTCCCTGTCGCCGCCGTTGTAGAAGTGCGTGGCGGACGCACGGCAGGGCGCACGTCCCGCGCGAACGGGCGAACCGCCGCTCCCGCCCCAGCGCCGCGCTCGCCTTCCCTGAGACTCGGGCTCCCGCTCCCGCGCGGCGCACTTTTGCTTTGCCGCTCGCCAGGTGTGCTCCCGCGCGCGCGGGCCGCAGCGTCGCCCTCGCCCCGGCCACCGTGCGGACGCCGCCCCGAACGCGCGGCGCTGCCGCCCCGGCGCGGCGCAGCAGCACCTTCGGCTCCCGGAGAGTGCGGGGGGGCCCCTCCCCGCAAAGCGAGCGACACGGCGCCCATCTGCCCGGGCTCCGTAGCACCTTCTGGCGGCGTTCGCCGCGCTGGTACGGGTCGGGGGCCCCCAAACGGGGCGGTGACCACACCGTGCGGTGAGTCGGTGGGGATTCGGGGGTCACCGCACGGTTTCGAGACTCGAGTCCCTCTTCGAGGACGTCTCGGGCGGCAGGGGCCTCTGGGGTCCCAAAACCGTGCGGTGACGGACCGTACGGTGAGGTCTGGGGGGATTTCGAGGTCACCGCGCGGTCCGTCACCGCACCGTTTCGGGACTCCAGAACGGGGCGCCGGCTCTTCGCTCTGGCCGAGTCGCACGGCAGCGGCGGCGGCAGCGGGGCCGCGCGGGAGTGCCGGTCGCGCGCAGAAGGGGGTAGCATGGCATCGCTCGGACGTGTGCATTTTTCCCTTGGCGAGGACCATCGAGGAGCATCCTTGATCATTTGGCGAAAAAACCACGCACGAAACCGACAAAACACACAGGAAATGGACGTCCGAGCGATGGCCAGGTAGGGGGAGGGGGGAAGGCTTCTATAGAAGCACCCTTGCTTCTTCGAGGGCGCGGGCCCTGTCTATAGATGTGAGGCCGGCGCCTTCTACGAGGCAGCCTCCCTCTAAGAAGCCCTCCCCCCTCCCTCCACCCCCTTTGTGCGCGCCGCCAAGAATGGGCGAAATGTGGTCCTTCCCAGCACCCAGACCCCCTCGGGCAAGACGATCACGGCGGGAGGCTTTCTTCACTGCCTTCGCCCTCTGGGGGCCCTCAGCGGGCCTCGGGGCGTCAAGCAACGACTCGGGTCGAGAAGCCAGTCCCGGGGAAGGGGTCGAGCACGCTGCGGTCGAAGCTCGGAAAGAAGCGTGACGTCGGGGGTCTGGGGGTACGCCGCGCAGTTTGCGCTGTGAGAGTGGCCGTGCTGGTTCGGCGCGGCGCGGCGCACGCTCTTCCTTCGCCGCGGTCCTCGGGAGTTTGACCGTTCGAGGAAGTGCGAAAGGGGTGCTCTCGCCGCATCACCTAGCATTAAGTCGGGCCTGTTCCCCTACAGGGGGATCTTCAACGAAAAATACAAATTACCCAACAAATAGTCCTAACATGCTCCAAAAATGGTCTGGGGACTAATTTTTGTTTGTACTTTTCTACCTTTTGGGGGCATTTTGGAGGCACTTTTTAGTTTCCGTCGAAAATCCCCCTGTAGGGGGACACGCCCGACCTAAACCTAGCAATGCTTTTCTGAAATTCCGTTTCTGCCCATGCGCGGTCCGCGTCTCTTCCCCTCGCCAAATCGTCGTAAGCCGGATCGCGCGCCATCGCCTTCCTTTCGATTTCGCGAGGTAGGAACTCGTCCCAGCCCTATAGTGCCGCAGTTTTTTTTGTTTCTGCTCGGTGGGGAGGGTGGGAGTGCAAAAGGGCTCGTTGACTCGTTCGACCTGCCCACTTAACTTGACCTCCTCTCTTCCCCACTCCTGTGTCCTTCCTCATTCCTTTTTCTTTTCCTCCTTCTCACCATCATCAGAGTGAGGGGGCCCGAACGGTCATTCACTGTCCCTGGGTGCGTGGCTGAAGTGAGGATCCGTGGCGCGGATTCTGCTTCGTCTTGTTGTTGTTGTTGTCGTCGTCCCACCCAAGAGCGACTCCGCGACCCACCCGCGACCCAACCCGCGACCCACCCGCGACCCACCCCGCGACCCACCCGCGACCCACCTCGCGACCCACCCGCGACCCACCCCGCGACCCACCCCGCGACCCACCCCGCGACCCACCCCGCGACCCACCCCGCGACCCCACCCCGCGACCCACCCCGCGACCCACCCCGCGACCCACCCGCGACCCACCCCGCGACCCACCCCGCGACCCACCCGCGACCCACCCGCGACACACGCGCGACCCACCCCGCGACCCACGCGCGACCCACCCGCGACTAACCCACGTGCACTCGACTACAAAGAATTGCGGCCCCTGCGGCGGGCTGCCTTGAATTGGTTGGGGACGGCGCCATCGCGCGCACTTTCCGCGCCCCACCCGCTGATCACCCGCGACCCACCCGCGACCCACCCCGTTCACAGCATAAACAAAATTCGGCGCCTGCGGCGGGCTGCAGGGGACAGCGCCATCGCGCGCACTTTCCGCGCACCACCCGCAGATCACCCCCACGCTGTATCTGAAATACAGCGACACTCAAACGGCACATCGGCGCCTGCGGCGGGCTAGCCTGGTCAGTATGTGTGACCCCGCTCGCCTCCGGCTCTTCCTGCTCGTGCTCTTGGTTCTTTCACCCCTCTCGCCTCCGGCTCTCCCTGCATCCTGCTCGTGCTCTTGGTTCCTTCACCCCGCTCGACTCAGGCTCTCCCTGCATCCTGCTCGTGCTCTTGGTTCCTTCACCCCGCCCGCCTCCGGCTCTCCCTGCACGTCCTCTTCGGTCCTTCCATGTCGTTCCTCCTTCCCCATTATTTTGCTCTCCAGGCCTCTTCCGTCTTCTTCCGCTAGGGGAGTGGCCCAGGACATCCTGGGGTGCAGCCGGGCCCTCCATTCTCTCCATTCGATTGTTTTCGCTTACAACTGCCTTTGGCAATTCCGCCGCCGTCACCAGGGTTGGGGGCTCAGGGGGGTTTCCCTCAAGGCGCCCTCGGGGGAAGAGGCGTTGGGGCGCCCACAGACTCGCCAGAGGGGGCGCCCTGGAACCCTACCAGAAAGCTCAAAGGCATTCTGACATTCCATTTCCGTCCCAGCGCGGCGGCGGATTGTGCATTTGCGTGGTCCCGTGGCTCTCTTTCCTAGGGCATTCGGTATTGGCCCCTAGCGGACGCCTCAAGCTCCGCGCACCCCCGCCCAGCCCATCCAGCAACGATGCCCCGGCGAGTTCCCTTGATCAGTGAAGTGCGAACCATGCGGTGAGGAGGACGAGGACGAGGACTAACGAGGAGGAGGAAGAGGAGGACGAGGACAAGCACGAAGAGGAGGATGGATAATGGAGGGGGGATGAGGAGGAGAAGCAGGAGGAGGACAAGGAGGAGGAGGAGGAGGAGGAGGAGGTGGAGGAGGGCGAAGACGAGGAGGAGGACGAGAAGGAGGACGAGTACGACAAGAATGAGGAGGACCAGGAGGAAGACGACGAGGAGCAGGAGGAGGAGGAGGTAGAGGAGGAGGAGGAGGAGGAGGAGGAGGAGAACGAGGACGAGGAGGAGGAGGAGAGGGACGAGGACGACAAGAAAGAGGAGGAGCAGGAGGAAGACGACAAGGAGCAGGATGGGGGAGGAGGCGGAGGGGGGCGAGCAGGAAGTCCACGAGGACGTGGGCAGCTCACTCCTCTGTCGTGGAGTGCGCTGGAGAGTGCTTCTGGCTTCCCGGCTGCCAGTGTTCCTCTGCCTCGGCGGGCAGCCCAGACGGGCAGGCCGGGCGCCCCCTCACTCAATCATAATCATCATCGTCAGCATCGTCAGCATCATAATCATCATCATAACTGTCATCGCCACCATCATCATCATCATCATCATCATCATCGTCATCATCAGCAGCATCATCATCATCATCAGTTTAATCATTCTCATAATCAGCATCGTCATCATCACCATCGTCAGCATCATCATCATCATCGTCATCATCATCATCATCATCATCGACAGCATCATCCTCATCGCCATCATCAGCATCATCATCAACATCATCATCATCAGCATCATCATACTTATCATCAATCGTGTCCTTTCGACCTTCCTCATTACCTCATCCTCCTCTTATCCTCGATATCATCATCTGAGCATCCCCTTGTCTGACATTGTGTCGCCTCCTCCTCCTGCTCCTCCATCATCCCCTCCTCTCCTGACCGAGAAGTGAGCTGAGCGGGAAAGGGGAGCACGGAATTAAAACTGTAGAGGCAGCATCCCCCCAGCAGCAGTTTGGGGTCTCAGGTCTTCCGTCTTTCCCCCCTCTCCTCCTTTTGAGGTCGTGTCGTCGTCTCCTTCCCCCTTGGCTTGGGCGCCCTGCTAAGCCCGCGCGTCCCCTCCCCTAGGGCACGCGGAAGGGCCAGCAGCTGCCCTTCCCGCACTGACCCGATGGGACTCGTGATGTACGGTAGCGAGCCTCTCTTACGGGGCCACCTCGGAGCTCGGTCCTTGAACTCCGGGGTATGCCCCCTGCCGGCCCTTGTGAGAAAGCAGGGCTGCTTCACAACGAATCGCAGGGGATTTGGGCAATATCGCGTAGATCGCCCGAGTCGGCGCTCTGAGGTTATACCCCCTTTATGCGGATGTCCTTGTCCTTGTTCTTCTCCTCCTCATCATCATCCTCCTCCTCCTCCTCCTCCTCCTTCTCTCCGTCCTCCTCCTCTTCCTCCTGCATCTTCCCCTGTCCCGCCTCTCTCCTCGCCCTTCCTGCCCCCCTCCCTCCTTCCCTTCCTTACCTCCTTCCCTCCCTCCCTCGTCGTTCCCCCCTCGTCCGGGCAGGGCGGCGACCCGCGCCGCGCGCGCGAGCGCGGACGGCGCCCGGCGCCAGGACCTCGTTCCACCGCGCAAGAGACGGCGGCCGGCCGAACAAACGAGCGCGCGGGGGCGCGGTTGCTAGAAGGGGAGAGGGGGAGGAGGATCAGTATCGTTTAACCGACCCCTATCCCCATCCCCATCCAGACCCCCACCGTCTTAGCACCCCAGTTAGGGATATACCCCTCGAGGCCTGCCGGAATCCCCATCTAGTGGGGTGAATCGGCCAGTTGGACCAAGGCCACGCTCATGGGGATAGGGGTCGGTCAAGCAATGCTCAGAGGAGGAAGTGGAGGTGGAGGAGCAGGAGGAGGGGAGGAGGAGGAGGAGGAGGAGGAGGAGGAGGAGGAGGAGGAGGAGGAGGAGGAGGAGGAGGAGAACGACGACGGAGCAGCAAGAAGAGGGGTCGTGGAGCAGAGCGGCGGCGGCAGGAGGAGGGAGCAGGAGGCCTAGCAGGAGCAAGAACAGGATCAGGAGGGGGCGCGAGGACCGAGGAGAGGAGGAGGAGGAGGAGGAGGAGGAGGAGGAGGAGGAGGAGGAGGAGGACGAGGACGAGGACGAGGACGAGGGCAGGGCGGCAGGGCAGGGCAAGAGCACCTGCGACCCCCCGCCCCGCCAGAGCACCCTGATGCCCGACGCTGCGAGGGCGTAAAAGTGCACATCCCGAAACGTCGCGGCCAGCACGCCGGACCCCATCACATGCGTGGGGCAGGTTCCCTCCCTCCCTCCCATCCCTGTGGGAGGGAGGGAGCCTGCCCATCCCCATGGGAGAGGGAGGGAACCTGCCCATCCCTCTGGGAGGGTCCCCTCCCTCCTCACAGGAGGGAGGGCGGGGAGGGAGGCAGGCCCCCTCGGAGGGCTCTCGCTCCATCCGCCGAGCCGCATCGGTCCGCGATGGCCCCGGGGCCCGAAGCACGGGGGCGCCAACGCCCGGCGCGCGAGAGAGCAAGAATGGTGCGGCGCCCGGAGCGCGGCGCAGGGCGATACACCTGGCCTCACCCCTCCCCCTCCTCCCCCCCTCCCCTCCCCTCCCCCTTTCACTCCCCTCCTCTCCTTCTCCTCCTCCTCCTCCCACCCTCCTCCTCCTCCTCCCTCCCTCCATCCCCTCCCTACCCTCCCGCCCTCCCCCCCCCCCCCTCCCCCCCCTCCCTCCTCCCTTCCACTCTTTCGACGTGGGGCAGGTTTCCCTCCCGAGTGATTGTCCCCCACATCCTAAGATGGGGTTCTTGTTATTACTTGGACGCCTCCTACTCCTCCTTCTCCTTCTCCTTCTCCTCCCCTCTCCTCCTCAAACCCAGACTCACTCATACACAGACCGACTCACACTCTGACTTACTCATGCCCAGACTTACTCATACACAAAATTAGTCTTACTCAGACCTACTCATACTCAGACCTACTCCTACTCAGACTTACTCATGGTGAGACTCACGCACGCCCGGCGACGGTCCCGCGGCCCGGCGAGGGCCCCCGGATGCCGAACACGGCCCCGAACCCGCCGCTCCCACCTTGCTGGAGCGCCGGATCTCTGGGCTCGTGGAAGATCAGGGGCAACGATAGGGGGGGGACAGGCACAGGGGGGTATGCATCGGCCCCCAAGCGCCCACTGATCGCCGACAGGGGCCCAGCAGCCACAACCTGCCCAGGAAAGTGCGGATCCGCCATCGGAGGCCCATCGCCGACATGTCGGTGATGTATCGCCGCCTCCAGGACGATGTCCCCCCCCCCCCCTTCCCCTATGCCTATTCCCCCCCCCTCCCCCCTGCCCCCCCCCTTCCCCTATGCCTATTCCCTTTCCCCTATGCCTATTCCCCCCCCCCTTCCCCTATGCCCCTCGGAGGAGAGCAGCACGCGCCCCGCGCGCGGGAGCCCAGGCGACCAGGACGGCGGTAAGGTCGGGGCCCTCATGCGGCGGCTGAAGTTCCGGGAGGCGCGCGCCGTGCACCTCGTGGACCTCACCGTGCCCGAGGCGCGACCCCCCTTGCGGCGCGGGGGGGAGTGATGCTGGGTGGGGGCGGGGGAGAGCGGGGATGCCGGGCTGGGTGGGGAAGTGCGGGTGTGGGGGGGAGGGGGGGGAGCGGGTGGAGAGAGAGCAGTTTGTGAGTAAGGACTGGGCTGCCTAAGCGCGGCACGGGCGGCCCCTCGGGGCCGCCATCCGGGGCGTGTGCTGTCGCGCGCCGCGCGCGGGCTCTACTGCGGCACCGCGGAGGGTCGAGGGGCCCCTCAGTGCAGCGGCGGCCGACGAGGCGAGGACGAGGACCAGGACGACGTCGACGGCCGACGACGACGAGGACGAGGGACGAGGACGACGACGAACGATGATGACGACCGAGGACGACGACGACGACGACGACGACGAGGGGCCGGACGAGGAGCCGACCGTCGACGACGACGACGACGACGACGACGACGACGACGACGACGACGACGACGACGACAACGACGACGACGACGACGACGACGACGACGACGACGACGACGACGACGACGACGACGACGACCGACTTGGCCCGGATGCACCCGAACGTGGTCGGCGTCGTTGGCGTCGTCGTCGGAGTCGGAGTCGGAGTCGTCGTCGTCGTGGCGTTCCTCGTCTCGGCGTCCTCGTCGTATTGCAAGGTGTTTCACGTCAGAGGTGTTTTCTCGACAGGTGCTATGCATTGGTGTGCGCAAGCGCTCTGGTGCACGCAAGCAATGTGATGTACGGCCACTGTTTGGTGCACACGGCTGCTGTGATGTGCGCAGGCGCCGTGGTGTATTTACAATAGTAGTCCAGTGCACGCAGGCACTGCGGTGTGCAATGGCGTTGTCTCCCGAGGCCTCGATCGTCGACCCAGGAAGATGCGGAAAGGTTGTACGTCGTACCGCGCTGGAGCGGGGCCCGAAGGAGACCAAACATGGTATTGTTGCCGTTCTCGTACCCTCAGGGGCAAGGTTAGGGGGAGGTATGCTCGGATGGGGACGCATCGACCCCCAATCGCCCATTCATCGCCGACAGGGCCTGATAGCCCACCCCGCCTAGGAGCGTGTGGTTTCGTTGTCGAGAACCTATCGCCGATCTGTCGTCGGTGTAATCGCCGATTCCAGGTCGATGCTCCCCCGCCTAAGCCAGTCCACCCTATCGTTCCGTTTCCCTGGGCCCGTCCTGACCCGATGTTCGAGGCGGATCCTGGTGTGGTAACGCGACGCTTCCAGGAGGCCAAAGAAAGACCGAACAACTGCTGGGATCGGACGGGGCTGGGACGAGGATAGATCCCTTCCACAGCGTTCCGGAACGCTCTCAGAGAGAGCGTTTCGGGGACGCTCTGAGAAGGCCGCGGCGCCCGAGACATGCTGCAGAGCCGCCGGATCTCAGAGATTCTCGATTAACAGTCAGCCCCGCATAGTAAGAATGGGCAGCCTTCCAAAGGGAACCCTTGCATCCTTGCCCCTTAGGCTCATCCTTGGCGACTTTCGCTGGCCAACCTCGTCCGAACAGCGTCAACATGGGCCTCCAAGGCGCTTGCATCCTTACCGCGCATCCTTCTGATACGGGCCGACGGCATCCTTACCCGAACTGATCCTCTTCCTGGCTTCGTCTTGCGCTGCCTCGAGTGTCCAGCCTCCGGCAGCGCTCCGCCTCGCGCATGTGAGCACCGCCCTCGTCCTCCCCCCTCCCCCTACCGCGAGGAGGACTGCAACGGCGCGGCGGGCGGAGGGGGGGGAGGAGGAGGAGGAGGAGGAGGAGGAGGAGGAGGAGGAGGAGGAGGAGGAGGAGGAGGAGGAGGAGGAAGGAGGAGGTAGGGAGTAAGGAGGAACAGTACAAGGAGGAGGAGGAGGAGGAGGAGAGAGGAGGAGGGTTGGAGAAGGAGGAGGAGGAGGAGGAGGAGTTCGATAAGGAGGGTGGAGAAGGAGGAGGAGGAGGTGGAGGATGAGGAGGAGGAGGCCCCCGCCCCCCCCCGCCGCGAGGAGGACTTCGACGGCGCGGCGGGCTCGTCGTCGGCGGCGGCGGCCCAGGGCGGCGCCGTGGGGTCCAACGACAGCGCGGCCGCCAGCTCGCGGCTGCCGGAGAGGCGCCGCGCCCCTTTTGGGAGAGCGCGCGGTGCGCGTGCGCCCTCGGCTCGCTGGCAGGGACCCGTCTCGTTGGACCGATCCACTCGTGCTTCTCCCCTCGTCCGAGGAGGGCCTCCTCCGTCCTCCTCCGCCCTCCGCCCTCCTTCTCCTCCTCCTTCTCCTCCTCCTCTCCTCCTCACTCCTCCTCCTCCTCCCCAATTCTCCGCCTCCGCCTCCTCCTCCTCCCCTCCTCCTCCCCTCCTCCTCCTCCTCCTCCTCTCCTCCCTCCTCCTCTACCTCCTCCTTATCCGCCCTCTCTCCTCCTCCTCCTCTCCGCCTCCCCTCCTCCTCCTCCTCCTCCTCCATTAGCCTCTCCCCTCCTCCTCCTCCTCCTCCTCCTCCTCCTCCTCCTCCTTCTGCAGCTCTCCCCGTCCCCTTCCGGAGCTGTGCGGAGCAGAGGAGGACATTCCTCTCCATCCACTCCCCCCATCCCCGGTGCCAAGGCGGACCCTAGCTTGGTCGCCGTGGGGTCGCGCACGGCCACCTGCCCCCGGGTACCTGGCGCCCCCCACGGAAGGGTGGCCACGCATGAGGCCACCGCACCCTCCACTGGAGGACAATCCAATCCTCGCTCTTCCTAACCCCCTCCCTCTTTCCCCCCCTCGTCTCTCCCCCTCGTCTCCCCCCTCGTCTCTCCCCCCTCGTCCCTCCTTCCCCCCCCCCCCCTCGTTTCTCCCCATCTCGTCCTTCGAGCGCGGCGACCCGCCCAGCGCGCGCGCGCTGGGCGGCGGCCGGCGCCGGGGCTCTGCTCCGCCTCGCGCGAGACCAGCGGCCGGCCGATCGGCTGAGCGAGCGGGGGGCGCGGCTGCCAGATGGGTGGACGAGGGAGGAGGATCGGCATCGTTTCACAGACCCCCATCCCCACCCCCATCCAGACCTTCACACATTCTCGGCACCCCACCTGGGGAGCTGCCCCCTCGGA